CAATGCTGAGAAGCTTGCAAAAATCTTCCAGCATATCTCTGCTGTAGAAATCATAGATACTTCAACCTTATTTCACACATTTATTTGTAATTAAATCCCTTAAATCAACTTCTAAAGAGGTCTTCAAGATCTGGGTATTAAGAGTATTTTAAACTGACCATGTTATACACAATCCTTACATCTACCTTCACCCAGCATTTGACATTTCCTGACTGAAACCTTACAGATTTCCAACATCAAGTGTTCATGGAACAAGAAAATCAAATGAGTTTGAATGTAACAGAATACTGTAATCCAGAGTTTATATAAAACCCAATCCCCATTTCTAAAGACAGGAAGACCATTTAAATTGATCAGAACCATTAACACATACTCATACTGGGAACAGTAGTATGTTATACCTCCAAGTGAAGCTGCACTAGCAGGAACTCTGAAATCTCTTACGAACTTTATGATTTTATATATACAAAGCCACTGTAGTTAAACGACAATAAAATTATTAATGCCTCAGAGCATGGGCTTGCTTGAAGTTCAGTACTCACAGGTGAACGCTCTAGGAATCTCCACCTCCTACTTTCTCTATTGACTCCTGTAGTCAGAGCAGCATGTATATTGTTGTGGCCCCTCTAGCTACTATCAACTTCTCTGATGACTTAACCTCAAGAGATTCATTAGAGAGCCTATACTAACCTTGGGCATCAAGGAGTTCTGAAATCCAAAGGCCACAAGCACTGCAAATATGGTCACAGAAGGAATAGTGGTCATTCCTTTGAAGAACACACAAATGTACCAATACAGAAGAGGAGGAGGAGGAGGAGGAGAAGGTATTTCCAATACAGAAGAGGAGGAGGAGGAGAAGAAGATTGGATTTATACCCCGCCCTTCGCTACCCAAAGGAGTTTCAGAGTGGCTTACAAAGTCCTTTCCCTTCCCCTCCCCACAACAGACACCCTGTGGGGTAGGTGGGGCTGAGAGAGCTCTAGCAGAAACTGCTCTTTTTTCCCCGAGAACAGCAGTGACACTATGGCTTGCCCAAGGTCATCCAGCCAGGTGCAAGTGGAGGAGTGGGGAATCAAACCCGGTTCTCCCAGATTAGAGTCTGCACACTACATCAAACTGGCTCATAAATCACAGTGCAAGCCTAAACTTTGAGAGTTTCTCTGGGACTATACTAGGGGTGTAAACTATTAGGATTCATTTACTGTTTAAATTTCCCTGTAACCATTTAAACAATGCCCTGCAGCACATGTGGCAACTAGCAAACAGGCAGGCTGTTACCTAGCTTTGTTTCTGTTTCTTTGTTTCTGTCAGCCAAATCAGCAGGCTGCTCCCATCTTAGCTTTTTATTTCACCTTCTGACCTCACAGGGCTCCATGGAGTAGAAACAGTCACCCACCTGGCCAAGCTCTCCTTGATGGCATTTGCTGGGCAGCAAAATGAGCTGGGCTCCGTGGAGCAGATGCTGCTGCACTCCACCCCCCACCACAGCTTGTTCTCCTTACCAGCCACTGGGCTTTAAACGGTTGGTTTTATTAAATGATATTTGTATCCCTCAAATATGCAGTTTCAATACTTTGTTTATATTATTTTGTTAAGGTAACAGTTGCTAGATAAAATGTAGTACTAGATGAGTTGTGGGGGTTTTTTTGTTGTTTTTTGTAAAGAATTCCAAGAATCTGTCATTCCAGAGGGGCAGCTGTGTTGGCCTGCTGTAGGAAAGTTACAGAAGAAGTATACAATAGGCCAGTAGCACCTTAAAAGCCTGAATGATATCCATTCCAGCATAAGCTTTCATGAGTCAGCGCTCACTTCCTCAGGTGCACAGAGTTCAAGCATAAAAACAGGCACCTCTTCAGTAACGCTCCTTGCTGGTGAAGCTGCACACTCGGCTAGTGCTTCGACATATGCTGGAGTACAGTAACTGAGCTACAAAACACAGTTCTTGACATTTCTAGCATTTGAAGGAGAGAAACAAATCCATGATTAGAGAGATCCAACAATTCTGTAGCCTTCAGACATGGAGAACAAATAACTGGTACTTTACACCATGCGTTGCTTAACACTTCAAAACTAATAGAGGGGTTGACTTTTAGGAGGTCCTCTAAACAAGACATGAACAATATACATCAATCTTAGTTTTCTTCTCCTCTGTCAAGGAAGACAGCAAGCACTGATTCAGAAAAATAATAAATTCTGAGCCAAGTCATTGATAAAAAATGCTGACGTTAAAATCAAACAAAACCTTCTATGTGCTTCTCTGAAACTTTAAGAGACCCAGGAAGCCAATTAGCTGCCATGAAAGAATCTCTACATTTCCATATTTTTGTGACTAGGCACTGTTAGACAGTAAGAGCAATGACATGTTGAGGAATTTCAGACAGACGATATAATCC